GTTTTATAGCATTCATAACCATGTCCTTAGAGCAGTTCAAGTGGTTTGCTATTTTTCTGTATGACCAATCTTTATTATGCAAGTTGATAATAATCTTCCTAGTGGACGAATCGCAACTCTTGTTTTTTCCCATATTGCTGGGTTTAAAACGTATTAATTTTAATTAAAAAATTAGGTTTTATATGTAATATCGACGTTTCATGAAAATACGCGGCAAAACAAAGAAAAACAAAATGCAGTTTTTACTTTATTTTTTAAATTCAGAACACAGCTTTTACTGTCTTTAATTAGCTGGCCAGCTACAAGTACGTTAAAAAAGTTTATGTTATGTTCCCATAGTGAGCAGTGTCTAAACTACTAACGAACACTACTATTTTTTGTCCCACATAGTAAGAATACAACGTCATGTATAGTTTAATAATACTACCAATACCAATGTTAGATAATTTAAGTACCATAAGTAAGTTTTTTGTGGTCAATTAGGGAGCGTCTTTATTAATTATGTGACCACCACTGTATATCGTTCGAAATTTCAAAATTACGGGCTATATAACGGAGCGTGAGTTAAAACATTTGACTGCACGCTCCCATATAATATGACACCATACGTATCCTTAACGGTTTTTTTCTTAAATTTCGATCGTACCTCCATGGAACGGCTTTTAACCTTTATTTCAATTTAATACTAAAAAGAAAGAGAGACGAAAGATGTACCTCTAATTTTCACTACCCGCACGTGGCGCCATTATGTTAGTATGACAGTCGTACGGAATTGGTATTTACAAACTTGTGACTATAGTAAGTTAGCTACATTCGTCTACTCGCTTGGAATAACCAACTTTGGATATTTTTAATAACTATTTCAACACAAATGCTCAAAAAAAAAATTTACGTATTGTATATATAATACATTGTTCGAAAATTAAAAATTACGGGCCATACAGCGGGGAGTGCGGTAAAATTCATAAGTAGTTTTCCCAGAAATTGCGATAAATCGTTTTTACCATAACTTAATAAACCAAGTTCATCCCTTTACTCTTCCCGACCAAATTGTTAGTAATTTTATCTTTTTTATATATATTTTTATTTAAATCTTCTCTTCCTTTTGAAATGGGTTTCGTCCTGTTCTGAACTTTTTTGGACTCAAAACTTACCGGCTCTGGCCTATGAGTGAAATCTCTTTTCTGACCTTTAGGTAGAGTAGAATATTTCTAGCACTAATGTGTTGTATACATTGTTCGAAAATTAAAAATCACGGGCCATACAGCGGAGCGTGCAGTAAAATTCATTACGCACGCTCCCGTACGTGGCAAATCCAACACATGTTTGTGTTGAAAATTTGTTTTTTTCAATAATTATTTTCAGTAATTCTCAAACTATTGATTTGAGTATTTTTTTAATTGCTAATTATTGAAAATAATAAGAACTATTTTTCCGAATAAGTATAAGTTTAATCTAAATATTTACTAAAATTATAAAGAGGAAAGATTTGCTTGTTTGTTCGTATTGAAGAGGCTCCGAAAATACTGGACTAATTCGAAAAAATCTTTCACTTAAAGAGTCCTACATTATCCTTGATGAACATAGGCTATCGAGTATTTTCAAAAAAGTTAGGTTTCCGTATGAAAACTACGATAATGTTAACCAATGTGTAAAAAAACAACCTTACATCCCGCGTACTGCGGAAGTCATTGACAATAGGGCAAAGTGATGTACATAGTTTTATAGAGAACATCAATATCTACAAAAAGGTCCGCAATACCTTAAGTAACTATTACAGTTATGTCACAACTAGAGGTCCCCTGTGGTTTCACCCGCGTTAATTTGAGGAAAAAGGTTATAGTAAGGCAAGCTTAATAGATGGATATATATTCTGCAGTGGACTTTTTTTATAGAACTTTTAAAGGGGAACAATATACATATTTTTTGTGTGGCTAACCGTTTACCCAGCGAACGCAACGGAAGCTCACAAATGGAAAATTTTTGCAACATTTTTCATCGATGCTCTGCTCTTACTGATCCTAGTATGATTTTATGTAGCCTCGATAAATGCACTATCCAACACAAAAAATATATTTCTAATCGGATTAGTATTTTCTGAGATAAGCGCGTTCAATCAAAAAAACAAACGATTAAATTCTCCAGTTATATAGCTATATTCGTTAGTTGTTAGTTTGTTTAACTAACCTACCTAATTCATGTTAAAATATGCAATAGTAAAGCCGGTACAAACTATGTCACATTATTAGTTAACTTTTTGTAACAGCACAGCAATGGTGTATGCTATATAACGGGTTCCAAACTACGCAACAAAATGTTCATTATCAGTTAAATACATTTTCACGGAAGGTCTATAATTACATACATGAAGACAGTCAATGTGTATAATACATGCCTGAGAACAAAAACTTTAGTCTACACTACAGCGCTACACCGAAGCGAAGCAAGGGCGGGCCACTAGTTAAACAAAGAAAACGAATTAGGGAAAACTCTTCGAAAATTGTATCCGAATACGAAATCAGTGAACAATAGTTTATCCCCAAAACAGAGTTCTCTTTTTAAATGGGATGAATGAGATTTGTAAGTGCATCCCATGTATCTTTAGAATTTTTGGTTAAACTAAGGTGAGTAAGAACAAATATCCCAAAAAGTAGTATAAAATTAATTGATTGAGTAATTATGGCTGGATTAAATAATGCAAATTTCTCGTGTAAGTTCAGTTCATAATTGTGCAGCATACCTACAGTAGTAGTAACATGAGTTATACACAGGCGGTTGTGGGCGTGCTTAGTCATATGTCATGTTAGGTCATATGAAAATCTTTCAGCTGCGAAAAGTAAAAAGGGTAGTGTTCAGCTGTGCATAAACCTTAACGGCAAATATCCTCTTTGCGCCCGTTCCAAGAATATCCTTGACAGCAGTGTTATGCCTACGAATATCGCTGTATGGGCCATCCCCGCCGTCCGGCATACGTCGTAAATATCTTGGAGCTCCGCAACCGACAGTGCAACCCAATGCAGATAGTACTGAAGCCCGCCCTCTCCTATAGGTTCAGAGCCGAGTACGTGCGCAAATACGTGATGAAAATATGTTCTGACACGTCAAATAGACGTCAGACATAGCCCGGGCAAACACAAAAATACTTACAGGCCCTAAAATAAAATGCACACCTAAGACAAGCCAGTGGAAAATTCCTGCTTCTACATAAGTACGTAACACAATATCTGCCGATATTGAGCAAAGATTAGAAAAAAGAACAATTTGTAATTTTGTACCTCTACCATAATATATAAAAAAAAGACCTATAATCAGATTTTTGTTGCTGGAATTATACTTTTCCATGTTTTTTTTAAACTTAATAAAATTGTTATGATGACTCTACATTTATTAAATTTGATGTTAATCATTGTTTATACTTACATATCCAATAAACTTTCTGGATGTATGTATATGTCTCATCATCATATCTAACTTATAATATAATATAAAATTATGTAAGTAGGTGTAGCCTTCATATTATGTGAATGAGTTTGTGCGTTGAGTGCAGGAGAATGCAGACATTGTGTCGCCTCTGTGCACCCAGCTATAACACAGACTGCTCGACGCCACCGCCCGTAGATGCACCCGACACCACATGACGTGCTTGAAAAATCACATGCATTGAAGACACCATAACAACAAAGAATATAAAAAAATATACTATTTTGACACCTAATCCACCCTTTTCCCATAAAAAAATATATCTCTAATTTTACTAGTAGATTACGTTTACACGTTGTCATACTCTACGTGAAATAAAAGTATTTAAATTGAACTGTTGGTTGGTTTTTACTTTATAGGTTAAATATTTTTTGAATGTTTGTATAAATTTATAAAATTACATGGAAAATCAATTAAAAACAAAAGTAGAGTCGTCAATTCCGACAAAGAACTACAATAATTAAGCTCAAAGTCTCGCTCAGAAATGGGCTTATAGAATTAACATAATTTCTTTGCTTAGTTTTCTGCCTGCAATTTTATTATCAATAATCTGGAGAATTTGGAGGAAAAAATTGTATTCACGTCGAAAGAAAACCATACGACCAAATAAATAACAAATATATTTGCAAGACAACATTCTGTTGGTAGTGGCTGCTAGGTAGATACATAAGGTTTGACGTGTTGATAATTTACGTCATGTCCGCGTGATTATTTCTTTAGTAGCTGTGGAGGTATTTACATACCTATTTAATGCAAGTTATATTTCCATCAGACTAATTAATTTCATTCAAACTTTGAAATCAACTATAACATTAGATCAAATAACTATAATTTCATCAAGTATTATAATAGTAAGTATCATTATGTGATTACATATTAAAATTTTATAACATTTTGTTAACAAACTATGTATTTTGTTTGGACTTTACTTATGAACGCAAACAAAGAACTAAGTTCTATTACTTAATAAAAATTAGAGACTAAATTCCTGGAAAGGACTTGCTTTTTTTTAAAGTTTTTATGTGATTTCTTTATATTTCAATAGTGTTTGCCCTAGCAATCTATTTTCTTTTACAACAGATGAAACTAAATTGAATTAAATATCTTAAAATTAAGTTGATTTGTGTAATTTAATAATTCTTGGAAATGACACTGCTTTTCCATAAAACTAAAAGTAATTGACTATGAAGACCATTAAAAAGTCATTTTCTATTATTTACGCATTAATGATAGTAAACATGATAGTCATCATAGCAGGTGCTAATTAGGAAGACAGCATATCAATTATTTTTATAAAGTTATAAATTGTTTAGACTTATTTACGTAATTCGGTAAAATAAGAAAAAATCATAGGAAAATCAATTAAATATTCATTGCGTTGTCGAACTCTATGATAATTCACCGAAATGAGATCAAGTTTGGAAATACTGACAGGTAGAAACCGGAGGGATAAGGGATAGCGCCGGCGCCTGCGCTACTTATTACAGAAATAGGATAATAGAGTTAAATAAAGAAAATCGTATAGTAAACAACTTTTATTAATATATAATAATATTATAATAATCAATCTTCATAAATGTGAGTGTGTTCCATAAAAACTCACATATAAAAATACATTCTATATCTTATACACAAAAATAAGCTATCATCTCAAAATGACGGCATAATGCACTATGGCGGCGTGTACGTTAAGGCACGTTGATGGAGGGCTACGCCCCGGGCGGCGCCAGGCGGGCGACGGCGACTAGATCACAGAAGGTGCGGGGCCGAGCCCCGGGGGCTGGCTCTCATCTCAGCGGCGCCGGGAAAGACGGCACGGCGGCGCACCAGCGCGGCGGACACGCGGACCCGACGCACCCCGCCGCGCTCTGCACAGGCACGAATGCTGACACGTGGACGCCGCTGGATACTGGTAGGGATGCTACTGCTGGCCTCTTCTCCTCATTGTCCTCGAGGAGATAAGGCCTGAATAATGTATACGGTTTTCTCGGTGTCTCCGCTGTTGTAGCTGTGGTACATGATACATATGGATTCACTATAGGTGGAGGTGTGGGCCGCCGCACTGACAAGTCTATAGGTTCAGCTGCAACGGGCGATGGCACGGTTATCTGGGGTGGTACGGTCGCTGGCAACGGAGTGGGCACCTGCACCGGCGTGGGGATCATAGCCGGTGGTGGCGATGGGAGTCGGGCGCTCTCCGGCGATCCGGCCGCGTACGGTGGTGGGGACGGCGCTGGTTGGGGAGCGCGTCTCAATAGCGCCGCTCGTAAAGTGGGCTCAGCTTGAAGCCACTTTTGTATTTGACGTCGATGAATGCCAAACTTCCTGGCGGTTGCACGTTGATTGCCACGACATTGAGCGTCGCGTCTGTACGCTTCGAGAACTTGGAGCTTGAATTGTGGTGGGAAGATACGGCGAGAGCCCGCCCGACCCTCGGGGCGGCGGTCTGAGGGCGCGGGGGCCTGATGAATGTGGGCTGCGGCCATTTGTCTGAGAGACGTGTGCGCGTGGCGGCTGTCGGCGCCGAACTGACTGCTCGCTCGGTGCGGTGCCGCGAGGATGTTGGCGGCGCACCGCTGCCCACCCGACATGAGTGTGCGACGCGCGCGAGCCTCGTATACACATAAGGGCTTGTTCACTTGTGAAGTGTATGTATGTATTTTACATTTAAATTTAGTTTCGTCCACTAAAAATAGGTTTGTTTCAATAACAACCTCGAATTTTGCCAACATATTTTATTATACAGATAATCTACATTTTGACCTTCGTGGTAGAACAAGGTCAATGTGCTGCTCTGAAAGAGGTGCTGGGTTCAAATCCCAAATAAATATTTATTTTAATTTTCGAATGGTTTAAAAAAATCGTAGAAGAAACATAACGAAGGGAATAATTTATATTTAAAATGAAAACATTCAATTTGGTAAGGTATTTATAGTTACATGGAAGAAATAAGTCGGCTACCACAAATAGTATCTAAAAAAATGAAAAAATCCAAATACTATAAGGCTCCTATGCCTAAATTAACAATAAACGTAATAATTTAGAGTTATATCGTGGGTATAATAACGTTGGCTATTGGGATTCATGTAAACGTTGCTTTAGCCAGTAATCTCGCCTCATTCTCGGCGTGAAAAAATGCCGCAAGTGGGAGCCGATAGCTCGTAGCGCCACCACTGCTATCTTTTTCTAGCGTGCACAGTCCACAGCGTCAGAGCGAGATGCCATGTGAACTGCCTAGGTCGCTGCCACATCCGTTTACGAAACAAGTTTGCATGCGTCGTTGCCGCACTGTGCGCGCGGGTGGTTCATGAGACCGGGAGGGGGGCGCAAGCGGCCAAGAATGCGCACAGTGCGGCAACGTCGCCGTCCGCGGCAGACAGGGTGTCGCCGACTCGTCGGCGTAGACAGGCCGTCGCTCGACGGCGCTAGCCCCCCTTCCACCCGCTCACACCCGCGCCGCCCGGAGCGCACATCAACAAGTTATTTCGGCCCAAAAGGATATAGCAACGAAAGACCTTAACAGCCATGTTAACTTTTAGCAGTTACCGCTTTTTCGGATTCCGTCTGAAGCTTAGCGCCATCGCCGTTTCGAGGAAAGTTGTTTTTTGTAGAGCGGTGCGGCCGCCTGGCGCGCCTACCTCGCGTCCGGCGACCGTGAAAACGGCGACCAGCTCACCCTTTGAAAATGTTTTACACAATTGGTTTTTTCGCACGTTTTATACCTCACGTCCTGCAATTATTGTTAGTATTGCCGCCCAATGCGGGATTAACTTAACAATAAACTTATAATATGGTTTAGTAGATATTTTTATGGTAATAATAATAATTACCAACAGATATCAAAAATTTTTATTACAATGATATCTTTTTTATGATACTAATCTTGAAAATGTTTTATGCCTAATGAGGAAAATTTTAAAATGTTTACTTTTTAAATAAGATTTTTTATGTTTTTATTTATTTTTAAGCATTTAACTGCTAGATGTTTAAATCTAAAGAACAGTTTACTAGGAAAAAGATTAAGATTTTTTAATTCGTAAACCTAGATAATAAGATAATACGACTCTAACAACTCTACTGTGAATATCTGTTGGTTTGGTAGAAAGCCGTAAAATGAATATTTCTGTGGGTTTCCTTTCTTGCATGAGATGAGTTACATCCAGAAAACCATAATTGGGTCATTATTTGAGGTGTAATAATTTTTCAAATGACTAACGACTTTAATTTTAATGTAAAACATAAGAACGTACACAGGAGTTAACTACACTGTATTTTTATTTTGATTTCTTGAAATGTACCTACATATTGTTTTGAAAGAAAATCGCGTTACGTGGTCCCTGATATACCTACACCGAAAACTTCACTTCAAGCGTTAATAAAAAATACAACATTAGTCAAAACTAACCTTTTCTGTTTGTTCTTATAAAGATATATTCGAGTATCGTTTATGAAAACCAGAAGTAGCAGTGTTTTTTATTCTTTTTCTTAAAAAATGTTAATTCTGTTCTAAATAAGTATGAGTTGCATATAGGATATTTTTTTAACCTTAATATTATTTAGAACTATAGCCGTAGTTGCCACTTTTTCGTGAGCATCACTTTCGTGATCATATTGGACCACGAAAATGATATATGGCAACGAAAACATAGCTATGGGTCAACTTTAGCAGAATTTAGATACACAATGAGTCTTAAATCAATATACATAAAAGATATTATGTGTGATTAAAAATTTAAATCTAAAGAATTAAATAATTACTTATGTAATTAATTATGAAATTGCATAAGACGGACGATGTAAACAAAAAATAGAGAGCTCTACCTTGTCAATCTATAAATAAATAAAAAAAAACTATCTTTTCTTAATATCAATAATAAATAATGTGGTCACTATTATTATAGGCATGTATAGACATTGCCCTTGGCATCGTCACTTGGTATAATTTCCTTATCGGGGTTATCATATCTAGTTATCTACTTAATTAATCTGGAAATTAGCTTGAATAACAAAACTACGCAAACAATTTGCATTCGACTCGAATACTGTGAACGTAGGCATTTATTATAAAGTTATTCATTTAAAGCAAGATAGTGATGAAATCATAATTTAATAACAAACAAAGTACCTAATAGCACATAGCCTACCAAAATTACAGTAAATATTTGGTCCAATGTGTCTAAGTATTCAATTGCTGCATTTTTATTGAAATCGACCAAAAAACTTCATATATTCCCGTTTTCTTTTTAATATTGTTATTAAAATTGTCTTTATTTAGGCCATTTAAATTATATACATAAAATATTATTATTTTAGCCGTAGCTATGATGACAAATGAGCAGCGGATGCTTAGTAATAGGGTTCCATTGTCACGCTTTGGATATGGGTACTTTTAAAATGATAATAAATCAATGTTTTTGAAATTTTCGCCTTTCGAAAATAAAATAACCATAATTATTAATGTGACTGCGGTTGACTCTACATTTTATTGTGTATCTCTATTTTTTCAAATTGTACTTCGGCGGTATATTCTTATATCAAAACAATTTTGTCGTTGTTCAATATTTTTAAAAAGATGGACCTGCTGATTTAGCTGGCAAAACATAGACTACAATTTGCTCGTGAAAGAGATCAATTGAAAGTTATTACGGAAGGCCTTTGTTAAAACGCAAAGATAACTAATGAAATATGGACGTGGATAAGTACTGAATAATAGATACTAAAATAGTTAAGCAACAAACTGAAATAGGCTTATAAAAATGAAAAGAACTTATAATTTCAGGATAATATGAAAATACAGAAAAAGCTCCAAGAAAAAAAACATTGTGCGGTGGTGAAAAAAAACAACAACACCGACGTTAATATAAAAAGGCAAATAGGGTGTAGATAGTTTTACACACATGACTTATACACATATTATTATATACACAATATTAAGCATAATCGCAATCGTGACAGGCCATATATGCCCACAACTATTTTTTTTTGTTCCTTATGTGCCCCCTAATTCGAAAACGAAACAGAAAAGGCACTTTCGTTGATAGTCTTTAACTTCTACATTTTGATCGGACAGTGTATTCTGTCACCATATATACAAAAGGTACTTTTTTGCAAATTGTTATTGATTGCATTGTCTACGTTACATTATTTGTTTAGTTATGAGTCAGGTTATGAGGTACAAGTTGTGGCTTCATTTCAGTGTTCAAAAATCAACGCGTCTCCTCCTAAAAAGAGAGAAATTATCCAAATCAGCTGACATTTATGTTTTTGTATGTTCCAAACTAAAGTTAGGTGTATGCTGAATATATTTGTGTTATTATAAAGAATAACAACAACAAAAAATAACAGCGTTACGGAAACGATACACTGGGAAAATATACGGTATGAATCATACTACTAAATATGCCTTTTGTATTTAAGTAAGAGCAGCTTTGATAACTAATGAAACAGTCGAAATTATTGTCAATGATTTAAACTCGAGAGATAAAATGTCAGGCATCATATGTATATATATATTGACTACCACGACAATGGATTAATTTCAGTTTTAGATTTTGGCGTTGGGATTAGCGTAAGATTTGAGAAGTTATCAGTAAGATTAGAACTTCTGGGACCTGTCCAACTGGTTCACAGTGTTATTAATGAAGACAATGAGTTTGAAGAAGATGATGATTTTCCACTTTCGAGGTACCTACCTACCAAACTAGACGAGACCGAACATCAAACCTAAAATGCTCTAATTGAGTCAACTACGATGGCTACAAAACCGTAAGTGGGTAAAACGAGAGTTAGCTATAATGGATAATGAGTGGATCACTCCACCTTCAAAAACAGCGGTGACTGCATGATCCCCCTCTCGGGGGTTGATCGCTTCAGATGAAGCTTCTAAGGCCCTTCTGGCCATAAGCATGAATAAAGGGTGTTTTTTAGTCAGTAAGAGTCTGACATAACCTTACAGCCGGCTGTAGGGTATCCATGAGGATTTCTCACCCTCTCCCCCGCCTGGGAGAAAAAAAAAAAAAAAAAAAAAACATGAGAAGCGTCAGACCCAATCATTTTTTTCTATTTTGTAAACAATGCAATACTCGTTGTACAAAAAGTTCGCAATGATATTGACACTTTTAATTTCGACGTAGTATTGTCCGAACTTTACTTCAAAAGTACGGCATTGATAAGCGGCAGTTACTGAGCATAATATGATCGTTAGATACCAAGCGGACTCTGTTGTGTTGCTTGTGCGTCAAAACCAGACGGTCACTTCGTCTCAAAAGTGTCAAGTCCATGTACACTCCAATCTTGGACAATGAACATTCTGTATTTAACATAATTTCTCATTTTAAAAATAAATAAATAGAACAAATGCTTTTGTTTAATTACTCACAGTAAATGTAGGGGTAGTGCCTGACGTTTCGTTTTCGAATAATATAATTAAAGAAAAGGTACTTATCTAATAATAACCTTCATTTAAGTAGTTATCTCTATACAGTCCTATTAGCATTAACATATCCAAAATTTACAAAAATTGGAAGTCCCAAATAGTTCTGGGCATAAAGGGGTACCTACCTACTGTTCGTTTTCGAATCAAGGGGCATATATGGATTAAGAATGTTGTTCGATATCATTATACGTAGTTGGAAATAACGTAAGGGAATCATTCAGTCGTAATCACAAATAACTCATTATTCTCAATCAGTTATTTTCCACTGGATGCGTAATTTGATATAATTGCGGATTGAACTATTATGGTCATAGTCATACATAGATAATTATCTTTTACAAGTGGTTAGAGTTAAGTACATATGTACTTAAGTATCTATTTGAAAATGCTAGATTTTCTTGTAAAATTTGATTAAAATTTAATTAATGACTCACCAGCCGGGCTGTTCTGTAAAATTTTACTTCCGCCGGGCTGTTCTGTAAGATTCTAGCTTGATTCGCTAACTTTTCATATTTATATAGTTTAGATATATCTATTAAAACTTATTTTGATAGCAATTTACCCTAAGCATGGTATATTATATAGAATGAAAATAAAAGAGAAAGAGTGCTATCCAATTAAGTTTCTAGTTTATATATACTAGAATCAAGCCCACTATCTAAGTAACACTCAAATTTTAGTTCAAGCTTGCACACTTTGCAATCTGAAGATCAGTTTCAGTTAAATTTATTTTAAAGATACATAATATTATCTCATACATTTACATATTTACATTATCTGTAGTCTATACAGAAAAAGTTAAAATTTGAGTTTTATTTTAACACCAATTAGCCTAGCTCCAAAGTAAGCACTGTAAGGCTTGTGTTATAGGATACTTGGGGAAACGGATAGAATACATATACTGATACATATATAAGTATATTTATTTTGAAATTTATTTAAACAAAACAAGTTTCAACGGTATAGATGCACTGATTTATTTATTTATTGACGTTTCGCATTCTTTTCTGAATAATGATTTTATTTACTGTGGCGAGCTACCTTCAAAAGACTTTTATTGAGCGTTCGGATATTTCATTGGAAGATTTTAAAACTTTATTGTCTATGTATGAATTATAATAAAATAAATTAGCTAATAAATTCATACATAGGCAATAAAGTTTTATAAATCTTCCAATGAAATATCCGAACGCTCAATATATATAAACATCCATAACGTTATAATATATATAAACATCCATAACGGTATAAAGTTGACTTATTAAAATATTTTTTGGATCGACCTCATAATTTTTTAACCAATTTAAAAAAGGAGGAGGTTCTGTGTTCGACTGTATATATATTTTTTTTAATGTATGTTCACCGATTTCTCCGTCAATTGTGCACTGATTTCCAAAATTCTTTTTTTATTCGAAAGAGTGCATTTCAG